TGGATTGATAAAAATGTGTATCATTCACCTTTTTCAGCTCAATATTACGGTTGCTGTAATTATTGATTTAGGTCTGTTACTCCATATCACCTGTCCAAGAGGATTTTATAGCAATTGTTCTGTAGTTCTTTCTAACAACAACAAAAAATTGCTTTCAACTGGAAGTAGAGTTCTAGAATTTGGTGCTATTTTATTTTGTCCAGTTTAATTAGTAAAAATATGGTGGGGGAAAGTGTCAAATTTAAAGACTGGGTGACAAGTAGGAGATATTGGTATCTTTTTTTCCCCATCATTTGAATGGACTAACTGTTGTGCCGCAAACCTTACCACAGAAGAATATCTTGTATAAATCCATTTTCTGATCTGTGGTTAATGGTACTATAACTTGTTGCCTGAACTAGAAAAACTATAAAATACTCGATGTGTTTGCTTTTTCAATCTGATTGGCTCTGAGATAGACTTTAGCATCATTACGATCATTGTTGTTCTTGGTTTATTTTATATTATTTCTTTTTCTGCTGTTGTGCTTAATTCTACACTTTTGGTGCATCCTAATTTTTATAAATCGAATTTCTTGAAGGTTATTTGTGATGAAATAATAGATGTAGAGATGGATGAAGACTGTGATGTTGCGCTGATGGACAGGCAAGTTGACACAAGTGGCAAAGGCAAGGTAATTAAGAGTTAAAAGGCACACATACTTGTAAATTTTTACGTACCCACATTCGATACGTATTCAAGCTCCGATACTCTCCAATACCCTCCGATGCGTACATGATGCTTTTTATTATTATTATTTTATATATTTTAAATTTTTGGTACGTATTTTTTAATTATTTTATATTTTTGTATGATTTTCGATACGTATCTGATTTTTCATGGTTGACATGCACCTTTACTACAAAACATTGTTTTGAAATTTTTTGTGCAACCTTCTTCTTCATTAGTGTTGAAAGAAATTGGAGTACGCACTCTTTTGTGCACTCTGGGAGAAGGAATAAAATATCTCTACACGAGTTGAAAAATTGATTTTCATTCACAATAATTTGCATTTTTTATTAAGAAAATTAGATCTTTGTTCAAAAGGACAATCCGAAATGTGGGATATTGCCGGCGACACATTTGATACTCTTAAATGTGTTGGACTGTTTGAGGTTGCTANTATAGCGCTAGCCAGCAAGCATTCTCAAGACTAGCCACGGTTGTAGAGTGTTATTTTTAACAATAATGGAGAAGAAATTTATGTTGACGATGACAATTAATGGTTAAAATAAAGTGTTTTAGTATTTTATTTTATTTTTATTATCATGCTTATTGTATTAATTTTTTTTTTTTTAATTTTAATAAAGTTATGTTGAATTTTATAAATCGGCGTATCCTAATTTTTTAAAAAAAGTTCTATCGGCGTATCCGTATCGTATCCTATCCGAATTACGTATCCGTACCCATGCTTCTTAGATTAAGAGTTCTCACTAACTATTATTGCAATGTGCTTAGAATCATCAGCCTCCAAGCTGATTTTGTTTTATTTATATTGTTCGTTACAGTTTGTTATTGATAACTATGCACTAATGGATTCATTTTTTCATTTTGCTCATAGGAAGCTCTGTCCGACTTTTCACTGGGTCCTAGTAGTATAGCTACTGGTGTATCTGGGAATGGCATTCAGTCGTCCAACAATGGCTCTGCTGAATTACATAATTCCAGTAATGTAGATGATTTCAATTCCTCTCTCTTCTACGGAGAAGATGAGTGTATAGATATGTATTATGATGATCTCATTGAGGAAGACTATGCAATTTTGCAATCACATTTTGATCATATGGATATTCCTCCTGGGATAGAGGCTCCACTTCCCTGGTTGCCAAGTTCTGCAGGTAATAACATGAAGTTAACGACCCCAAGCACATCAACCAATTCAAGTTCGCAACTTCAGTTGAATGATGCCAATCTCCCTGCTGTGAATACGTCTCACCCATCACGGAATTTTAAAACTATTGTAATAAAGGGTCAGTCAACTTCACGGAATAGTTCTCAGTTTGGTACCCAAGTGCATGCTGTTAGTCAACCTGTGGAGTTGAATCTGTCTTCAACTATGTGGGAACCAGCTCTAGATCAAGAGAAATTGAACACTTCAAGCAGTACAGCTTATCATATTTCAGAAATCTCAAGTAATTTGTTGAATCTTAAACTCGGGAAGGACTCTTTGCGCTCTTTTGGAAAGAGTAGAAGGAAGTCTCATGTACCACCTCCATCACCTGTTCTCTACAGTCCACACAATCAATTTCCTGCCAGTTCAACGCATTTTTCCAGTAGTGTGAAGACGCAAGTTGGTAGCGATTGTAGCTATCCAAAATTAAATCCAAATATGAATATGTTCGAACCTTGTCCACTTCCTCCTGGATTTATTGGTGGAAGCTCATCTGCCCCATGGGGACATGATCCTGCCAAGAACCAAACTAATACACTTCCTGTAGCAACTCCAGAACCGCTCTCCTATGTGGAGACTAGGAATGTGGATGAAATTCTTCAGAATTTCAATCTTTTTAAGCAATTTGACACCGTTGAAAATTACTGTGACCACTACTACTCGAAAAATTGTTCGTCTATGCAACAGGCAAGCTCACCTTTAACAGATTCATATTATTCCCTCTCTGCATGTATTGTCTATAGTTTTCTTTTTTGCATATATTCACATGCCTTCATACAAACATCTTTAATATTTGATATAGCCGTCAAAGGGTTGGACAAAGAGAATACAAGAGGAATGGAAGATCCTGGAGAAAGATCTGCCTGGTAAGTTTTTCTGAAATTTTAGGATCAAATTATGATGATATACGAGGAAAAATTAGTTCTAGTCTCTTTACATTTTTTAAACTTACAGTGTTACCATCATTTTACTGAGCTTGTTACAATGAGTACATACCTCACCTTCTATTTTCCTATGGCCTCTCTATCAGATACAATATACGTGCGGGTCTATGAATCCAGAATGGATCTTTTGAGGGCTGTAATAATAGGAGCAGAGGGAACTCCATACCATGATGGTCTCTTTTTCTTCGACGTCCTCTTTCCTGGAAGCTATCCTAATGTTCCACCCGTATGTTTCTGATATTTTTGTGTCTCTGCTTCTACACCTCTGAATATGTCAATGCATTGTCTCGCAATGAGCCTTTATCACTTGTTGCAGCTTGTCCATTACCACTCTGGTGGCCTTTGCATCAATCCAAACTTGTACGGTTGTGGCAAAGTATGCCTGAGCCTTCTCAACACTTGGGGTGGTAGCCAGAAGGAGAAGTGGATCCCTGGTGTATCAACTATGCTGCAAGTTTTGGTCTCTATACAAGGCCTAATTTTGAATGCTAAGCCCTATTTTAATGAGCCCGGACATGCAAATATGAGTGGTTCAGCATGTGGAGAAAAGTGTTCTCTGGCATACAATGAAAAAACATTTATCCATTCTCTCCGAACGATGGTGTACAGTATGAGGCGACCGCCAAAGGTAAGATGAAATCGAGTTTCTCTCTGTGAACTACCATGATTATTGGGACTTTAGATCCCTGCATATTTTGGTGGTTAATTTTAATTTGTTCTTTCCTATTTGGTGATGACTTCATTCTACTGATTTGACTTTTGTTTTGCTCGTAGCATTTTGAGGACTTTGTGGTAGGGCATTTCTGCAAGCGTGCTTGTGATATTCTGGTTGCATGTAAAGCCTATATGGAAGGCGCTCAAGTGGGTTGTCTTGTCAAAGGGGGTGTTCAAGATGTTGACGAGGGTGATAAGAGCTGCTCCTTGGATTTCAAGGCCAATTTGGCAGGGTTCATCACTACACTTGTACATGCATTTTCTCAAATTGGCGCGATGGGTTGTCAAGAGTTCCTTTGTTTGGCTCAAAAGGCAAATGAACAAGTGTCTACTCTACCTGGGGTCCAAAATTTCTACTATTAGGTCAATTAATTTACAATTGGGACTTGCGCAACTTCTTGAATTTTGTTTTTGATGACTTGGGATGTATGTAGAAGTTACAAAGCAGTGAATGTTAATGACACTTCAGGATGCTTATTTTAGTAATAAAATGTCATAACGAGGATATAACTTGAACTGTGTTTATCCTTCTCTGATTTATTTTCCTATATGCTGTAATATACAGTTGCCTTGTTATTCAAATTTCAAATGGGGAAAAGATGAAAACTCGAAGGAGAATAAGTTATCATTGGAATGAATCTACAGTTGACGAAAAAGTCGGGATGTATTTAGCATTTGCTTGATGTTTGACTTCAGGAAAATCTCTGCTAAAATTTTATGAACACGAAACTTCAATTTTAACTGTAGATTTCATGAGATGTACAACTTTTATTAGAATTTGCTTCTCTTTTATCGCTTTGGTAGGAGGAAAGAAGTGCAAAAACTTGTTGCTTTTTTTTTTAATTCCCTATAGGATAAGCTGATTAGAGCGCTACAAGAATAGCTGTCTTGATTCCTTGCAGTTGACCCAGTTGATAAATCCCATATAGTGGTGGCAACTTCCAGGAAAATAGCCTTGTAACAAAAATGCAAGTGGACTTGAACAATGAATCATCACATGCTAAGTAAACAGATACTATGTAAAAAAGTTCAGTGATAAGTGGAAGACTTTCAGTGCATAAATTACTTCTTCTTCCTTGTTTTAGTCCTGTTCAGTTTTGTTGTGGCGATGAACTCTTGGTTTACTATGTTTTCTTCATGATTTAAAATTTTCTTGTTCTTTTTCTTTACCAGTCTGCGTGAAACCTGTGGTTTTTCTTCTTCTTCTTCTTCTTCTAAGAGTACTTTTACAATATCTTATACTGATCACTGTGCGTCCATAGTCCCGAAATCCAACTCAATGGTTCGTTTCCATGATAAGTATGCAGTTCCATTCAGTGGAGGCTACTACACAGGTGGTGAGAGATTTGTAGGCAGCAATCTGTCGTATTGCAATACTGTTGGAAGTTATCTTCGATTTCGACCCACTCGGAATGTCTATAAAACTGTTGCCAAGGGTGTATAAACTTGAAGCTCACTTATATTTCCTGTCGCCATACGTGTACTATAATAATGGAAGCGATTCCAGGTACGGATCCCATTATCATAGAACTGTTAGTAGGTCGGGCACTATCATTTCTAATGACTTGGGATATTTTGAACCAATTTCGATATATGATTTCCCTTACCTGTCCAATTATAGTTACTCGTTGGTTACGCAAGAAGTTATTGGTGGGTGTTATGGAGATGCTGATGTCCCAGAAAACCAGTCTGCACGCCTGGAGTCGAAGGATTTTTGCTCTATTTTTCCCACAGGGACCATCTCTGTTGAATTGGAGTATGCCACTGAGTGCAAAACATCCCAAAATTGTACCCTCTTTGTTGGGGGTAGAGGATACTTGCCTAGGTTTATGCACTTGCATCCAGTGTTCAGGATATGACGAAAGCTAAGATACATGGTTTTGGAAATAGTAGTTACTCCGAATTTTATGGGCGGGTTGATCTGAATTCAACTTTGATTGGTGAGGGGTCTTGGAATGTGAAGAATAGGCTATGTATTGTTGCCTGCCAAATCTTAAACCCGGTTAGTCATTGGGAAAAAGAAGTGGGGGATTGTACAACGAGGTTGAGCTTTAGCTTGAGATACCCTCCAATCTGGACGATCAGAAACAATTTGAACATAGAAGGGCAAGTTTGGACCAACAAACTGTCAATGTATCAGGGTATTTCAGAAAGATCATGTTCAGAAATTGGGAAAACGACGCAGCTTTGCTCCCAGGATTGAAATACGAGTACACTGAACTTGATCGAGTAAGAAAGTCATGCTCAATGAAAAAGGCTGTCAGAATGGAGGGAATGCAATACCCAGATGGGCATTCTTATGATAAGAGGTTTGATATGTCTGTAAATCACTCGAAAACACAATTCGCTTGGGGAAATGCCATACCCCTCTTTGTTGGGAATGAAATCTATCAACAATTAGGTGTGCTTGTTACTGTTTCAGTCTGATGCGGGGTACGAGACAATTGCTAAAGCTGACAAGAGAACCAATGACCCCTTGAATATCAGCTACAAGTTGAGCTTCAACCCATCTTCGGTAGCAAAATTGGGTGGTTGGTTTTCACCTCTCAATTTATCGATGAGTCCCCAAGGTCAAGTTGAGATTACAGCAGAAGGGTTGTATGATGATGAAACAGGACACCTCTGCATGCTAGGCTGCAGAAAATTGAGTTCATCCACTCAAGAATCAAGAAAAAATTCCTTTAGACTGAGATTCCTGTGAATTTCGAGTTTCCATCAATGAATAGTATCAATAGAGGAGAATTTATCGAGGGAAGCATCAAAAGCATGCGAAAGAGTTCCGATCCTCTTTATTTTGAGGATTTGAGCATGTCTATTTCTGCCTTTTATATCTCTGAAGCGAAGCAGTCGATATGGAGAATGGACTTAGGGATCATGATGGCTTTGATATCGAATACTCTTACATGCATTTTAGTGGTATTGCAAATTTTTCATGTAAAAAGGAATCCTCTGGAACTCTCTTACGTCTCCCTTGTCATGATTCTGATACTCTCTAGGACACACGATTCCTCTTGCCCTAAATTTTGAGGCCCCTAGAGAAATCACGATAAGCAAACGCTGTTGCTTATTACCGGAGGATGGCTCGAAGCAAATGAAGTAACTGTTTGGATATTAACTACGGTAGCATTTTTATTGCATATCCACCTTCTCCAACTCGTATGGACTTCAAGATCGACTCACGAAAATAAAAAAAATTTGTGGGTCGAGTAGAAAAAGGCTGCCTTATGAATTGCCAATATGTAGCCATGTCAAAGAGTCGAGCTGAGCCATGAGCCGAAACTCAAAGCTTGGGCTCGGCTCGAGCAAAACGGGTCCGAGCTTTTTTGGGTCTGAGTTGAGCCGAGCAAATGCTCGGCCAAAAAAATGAGGCTCGGCACGAGCCTTAGCGGGCCAAGCCGAGCGGCTGCAGCTAAAAATACCTACTTGCACTTGCCGGTAGTGTAGGGAATTAATTTTTTTTAAACGGGCCGGTTCGTACGGGCCGGCCCGAGCTCGGCCCAATGCCCTAAAATGGGGCTCGACCTGAGCCTCAGCTCGGTGGAACCGAGCCACAAGCCAGCCCCGCTCGAGCTTTTTTCGGGCCGAGCCTAGCCAGCGAGCTTGTTTGCTATCCCTACCAATATGCCTTATAGGCAGCTTGCTCACCTTCTGAACTGGACAAGGAAGAGATACAGCTATCAAATACCTTTCCCCCGATCCTTGTTGCGCCCTCAAATCTTTTTCATCATATTTTGCAGTTCTATAGAGAGTTAGTTGTCTCGTCCATTTTATGTTTGGACGACACTGGTTCGTGCGTTTGCCTTATGGTTACGATCTTTATCGGGGTCAGACCATGCAATATATGTCAATATATCATCATACTATTTATTTTGCAGATCATATTGCAGATTTTTACTCCATTGCTTGGGATTTCAAAATCCCCTGTGTGGGTATTGTGATAGTTGTGATCATTTTTTTGCAGCAGAGGCTTGGTGGCCATTGGATTCTTCCTCAGAGATTCAGGGGATTGGAACTGTACCAAAAAGTGCCCATCGTTGGCAATGAGTGTACAAATATATGGTGTGCTTGAGCCACATCATTTTGAAAAAAATATATTTTAGAATAGTAGATTGATGAAGAATGTGTGGTTGAAAAAGGAAGAAAAGTTATTGATGTGATGGAAGATATTATTTTATTAAAGAATGTGTGGTTGAAAATGAGTAAAATGAGAATGAGAATTTTAATGTGGCTCAAACAGGGGCATAGTGGCAGAAAGTTGCATCAAGAACTTTGTTATTGTGTTTTAAGACAATGAATCACCATAATTTAGGACCATATATCTCGTATGTTTGGTAATACTTTGTCAAATATTGATGAAAAAAATTTGATTTTGTTTCCATAATAATCTCATTCTCTATTTTATCTCTTAGAGTGTGTTTGTGACACATTCTTTTGAAAGAATGTATTATTGAATAGTAGATTGATGGAGAATGTGTGGTTAAAAATGAAGGAAAAGTTATTGATGTGATGGAAAATATTATTTTATTGAAGAATGTGTGGTTGAAAATGAGTAGAAGA